AGGCCGGGCTGGTTCGTTTGGTCTCCGTGACCTTCGCAGAGGATGGTGGCTCCAAGGTGTCAGCAGAGGGAGACCCAGAGAAGACACTGCTTTTTCTACAAGGAGAGTCATTAAAAGCAGCTTCCCTCTCACCAGGCAGCGGAGGGAGTCGGAGGATCCTGTGATGCTGCTGAGGGCTAGGGAGCCTTGGAGACAGAGGAGAGGGAACAGGTGACATCCATTTATGTGTGCCGGACTGAGGGGATGAATTATTAAACACCACGCTGAGAGCTGCTGGTGCTGGGGGCAACGGCCTCTTCTCATCTCCTCTGGGTTGTGAGGAGTCGGGACCTGCACTGTGGACCAGATCCAGAAACAAGGCTTTGCGGCCACTCAGAGGCAGCCTGGTTGTCCTCTTGCATCTGGTTTCTGGGAGAGTGTGGGTGGCTTGCGTGCTGATGGGGAATCCCAGCCTTTTCCCCTCAGGAGCTTCATCTAGCTTCTCACTCTCTATCACCTTCAGTAGGACCTTGTTCACAGCCCCCTCAGCACAGGGTGGTGTACCAGAAATGGAGGTGCTTTCTCTAGCCGCCAGCTGCAGTGACCTGTCCCCTTGCTGCTCCTTGCCCTGCCTGGAGCCATGAGCCCCAGCCTCAGGTCCTGGGAGGCTGAGCAAGTCTGCTTTGGGTATAAACTCAGCTTGGGCTGCTGGGCAAATGGCAATCCTTTCCTCACCCTCAGGATGCGTTTTAACTACTCTTTGCACCTGAGCAGCCAAGTCCTGGACTTTGGCCACCACTTTGGAAACAGGCCCAGCTGACTTCTCCATCCTGTCCCTCTTTGCCTCTGGATGCTTCTCAGGGTCCTGCTGACTTTCTGGCAAACCCAGCCCGCAAGGCCTCCTCAGCAGCCCGCGGACACCATCATCTCCTGACTCTGTGGAGCTGTAGTCAGGGGGCAGCTCTTCTCTTTCAAGCCCAGTGTCCTTGAAGGCTGTCCCAAAGCTCCCAAAGCCAACATCTGCATCCAGGATCCTGAGGATATCTGGAGGGCAGCTCTCTCTCCTCTTCAGGGCAGAGGTAAGTGCCCCATTTGGGAGCAAGTTTCCTCTTTCCTCTAGGAGCTGAAGATTAGGCCTTGTTCGAGAAAGAGGAAGGGAGTTGCTGGAATAGATCTGGTCCTTCCCCATCTGAGGAGCTGACTCCTGGCCCCCACACTCTTTCCTTCTTGTCCTCTTCTGTGCCGCAAAGCTCTCTCTCCTTCCTCCAGACCTCCGGGGCTTTTTGTTCCCGTGGGTGCTCCTCTTATTGAGAGAGCCCACAGGGAGCTCCCCCCACCAGCTGCCAGCACCCTGGAAACAGTCATCCTCAGGGGCCAGGCTCACCGACAGCTCCAGCAGCTTGCCCTCCTGATTCCCCATCGCAATCCCCAGGATGTGGTCTGAGCTCAGCAGATTGGCCAGCAGTCTCTCCCTCTCTGCTGTGAGTTTGTACAGCTCAGTTAGAATGTCTTTTGTGGGAGTCTGCTTGAAAAATATGTCGCCTGGATGTTCGTCTGGCTGCTGGCTGAGGCTGATGATGTCTGGCCCCTCCCTGACTTGGTAGCAGTTATGAAAACCTTTATTGGATCGGTCTAGAGTTACGGTGCCCTTGTATGAAAATCCTCTGACTTCCCCTCTTGGAAGATAGAAGCTGATGTAGCAGAGTTCGGTAACAGGCTTTTGCAATTGGAGGGTGCAGTGAGTGCCTTCCATTATGCCTACCTAATTATTCATGCCTTGGAGATGCCGGTCTGTGGTCAGGCTTCCCAGGCTCCAGTGGTGAGGCATGTGATGGTGGCTGTGCAGGGAAAGCAGCTGACAGTCATCTCCAGCAATAAGACTGCCTGTTAGAGGAACAGAGAAGAAAGCAGCTCGTCTAGCAGAGTGCATAAATCACACACCAACATAAATCAAAGAATAACCATGACTTCTTCTCTGGCCAACCTCAACAACTCAAAGCATCAGCCAACAGCCTGACTGCAACCTCTTCCCTACGCCCACCCCACCCTTGACCAGAAAAGCCTTTCTACAGCTGAGAGATGAGACAGTGCTCTGATCTTAGCCCTAGGACAAAAGTCCTCTTTCCCCATGTGAGGACTCACTGTATAGCCTAGATTAGGTCTCTCAACTTCTCTAGGCTTCAGTTTAAGTTCTTCTATAAAACAGAGCTATCTAAACTCCCAGAAATCCTGAGGAAAGGGGGCTTTGAAATCCTTAGAAAACATAGCTGTTTTAATAACTTATGTTTAGAATATTACTTTGCAAAGATGAGTCAAGCCTTTTTACCCTCCACAAAGCACCCTCTAAGATTTGAGATTAATTACCTATTTAACTTAATGCACAGTGTGAGGAAAAGTTTTAAGCCAAAAATTTGGAGTTACAGGTGAAAATTTAAATTTAAAAATTTTAAATTTAAATAAGTAACTTAGGAGTCTTAACTTTTTGTTTTGTTTTAATTCATTTCCTTTTTATTCTTGTTGCCCATTTGAGGACAAGTGGAACAGCAGAGGAAGAGCAAAATTCTGTAAGCCACTTCTGGCCCTGTATGGATTTTCAATGACTTCACCATAAAAGTGGCTAAAATGTCACATAAGTAGTGAAGGTGCCTACTTCTTTGTGTGACTTGAGGGATCTCAAAAATATCTCTGTGTCTAACACAGCAAAACAAAAACACGGGGCTTACAGTTCTATATTACAATATTTCATTTCTTAAATTAAGATATTGCCCAGTCTTCAAGTCTTCCTTGCTTAAAGAAACTCTTCTGAGAATGATAACACAACCATTTATTAACCATCGATAACTTTAGTGAATTATTTTCCTCAGGCTTTTTTTCTAACTGCTTCTGAACAGGAAAAAGATACATAGGGCCGGCCCGGTGGCGCACTGGAGAGTGTGCCACTTGGGAGTGCGGCGGCGCTCCCGCCTCTTCTGAACAGGAAAAAGATACATAGGGCCGGCCGGGTGGCGCACTGGAGAGTGTGCCACTTGGGAGTGCAGCGGCGCTCCCGCCGAGGGTTCGGATCCCATGTGGAGACTGGTTCCCGCTCACTGGCTGAGCGCGGTGCGGGCGCAACACCGAGGGTTGCGATCCCGTTACCAGTCAGTAAAAAAGACAAAAAGGGACAAAAAAAAAAAAAAGATACATAAAAGTATATTTTGAGTGGAGGGAGAGAAAACGAGGAAGAATTTTGTAACAGAAACTTCTTGAGGAATACAGATGCTCTTTATCATGCCTCTAAACCCTAGTTCCAAAATCTTTCAATCAGTCTGCACCCAGCTGAGACCAGAACCCATGTCTCAGAGGTCAGTGCTACATTAATAGTAACTTAGGGCTTCCATAATATAAGCAAGCCTTTCTTCTTCCCTTCCCTGAGAGTAACAGGAATCACATACCCAGTTATAGCCTTAAATTCTTAGATTCAGCCTCTTCCACCACCCCTTGCTAGAGACCTGTTGCTTTACCTTCTATAATTTTCTTTGCTACAATTTCTTTTGCAGAGTAATATTGTAAAAATAGTGAAAGTCAAAACCATGGTGTTGTACCTATAGATAATGGAGACTATTTTAACTAGGGATCAAACCATAGGGTATAGAAGAGCAAAGGAGTGTTTTGGGAACTATAAATTTCAGCCTAAGAAAATGAAGGTAAAAAATGCAGACATCTGGTCAACCCAGAAGTGCCAGAAGGACTCAGAGTACTCACAGAAAAGGTTAGAAGGACTTGAAGAGAAGAATCACAGAAAAGATGGGAGGCAGGCCAGACCAGGTCTTGCCTCTTCCAGAACTGTACATAAGACTATTCTCATTCAACTAGTCATATTTTGAAAATCTTCCTAAAATGTTCAGTGCTGGCATTTCCTATAGACAAACATGTGTATAGATACGCCATAATTACTGGTACAAACTCTCTGGACACATCCAAGAACTCACTTGTGAGGTGGTCTTTTATTGCGTGATTTACAACAATCAGGGATCAATGTAATTGCAGAGCTATTAATAGCCAGTGTGCACGATACTGAGCCCTAAGCATCAGGAGTTCAATTGATGAATTCTCAGAAAAGCTGAAGGGAAGCAGCAGCAGTGCTCTTCTGACCTGAGGAAAGATGGGATACCCTCCTCTGTCTTCAAGCGTTATTCTCCTCTAGCTCCCTTTACCTCCTCAGTTTTCCTGGATTAGCAGAAGGGTGTCATGTGGAGGGAGGAGTAGAGTTAAAAATTTTCAGAAGCTGTCCAAAGTAGCAACACAAAGTTCACGCTGTAAATTTCAAATAGGAATACAATTGCCTATTATAAAAGCCCATTCCCTATGAGAGAGAATTCTTATATATTGAGCACATATACACACATACTTTCATTTAGTTATCTCATTTAATCAGCATATCTCCATTTTACAGGTGAGGAAACTGAAATGCAGGGAGATCAAGGAGCTTGCCTAAGGGGATACAGCTCAGAAGCAAGTTTCACACCGAGTCCTGCCTCGAGCCATCGCTTCACAGGGGCTGTTGCTCCTCATCTACTGCCTTCTACCAATGAATTGGTTTTCCAGGTCATTTGAATAGAAGAGGTCCTTTACATTGCTAACTTGGTGTGACATAATTTCTTCAACAATGTCTCACATTTTGCTACTTTTATTTTTATTTATTTTACTATTATTATTTTTACATTTATTTATTTATTTTTGATTCTACATATTTATGGGGTATAGAGTTGATTATCAGTGTCTGTGTACAGTATGTGATGATCAAATCAATATGTATTATTCATCATTACAAACCATAATTATTTTTGTGTCCCTTACCCAATTACTCCCTAACTCCCCTCCTGCTCCCCCTTTTCCACCTCTAGTAACAAACTATAGGTCTGTTCTCTCCTTCTGAAAGTTCAACGTTTTATTGCTTTCTTTATTTCTTTCTGTCTTTTTCTCTCTTTCCTCCCACTTTATGAGTGAGGACCTATGTCTCTTTCTGTGCCTGCTTATTTCACTAACATAATTTTCGACAAGCTCACCCATGTTGCTGCTAATGGCAGAGTTTCATTCTTTTTTACATATTGCTACTTTTTCCACTCATTGCATAGTTTCAGCTTATTGGTCAGCTAAAATGCTGCTATATAAGGTTATCCCTTAAACAGCATAATCTAGAAAAAGTGCACCAGAAATTCATTGTGTGTGGAAGTAAAAACCACCTATACTTGTCAAGTAGAACCCAATGAAGATTCTTTGTTTTTTTTTCCTTTTTGTCTTTTTTACTGATCGGTACCGGGATCGCAACCCTCGGTGTTGCGCCCACACCGCGCTCAGCCAGTGAGCAGGAACCGGTCTCCACATGGGATCCGAACCCTCTGCGGGAGCGCCGCCACACTCCCAATCGCCGCACTCTCCAGTGCGCCACTGGGCCGGCCCCCAATGAAGATTCTAATTCAGAAATTAAGTGACTTAATTGGTCTCATAAAAATGGCTATATCCTTTATGAGGATTACAGACATATGGTGTCTATTATAGTGTTAAGCACTTTATTTTCTCCTGGTCTTTATAAATCTTGGTTATATAAATGAAGAAAATGTCATTGTTAATATTCTGTGTATTAGTCAGAGTTGGGATACTCAAATCAAGGTTTAGGAAATTATAACACTGGATTTTACAGCAATAAAGCTGCAACGCAAGGCATGAAGGTACTATTATGAAAAAAAATCACTTCACATTATTGTCTTGTCTGCACAGAAACTTCAATATAGAGTACTCTCTATTTACAATAGCCAAGAGTTGGAACCAGCCCAAATGTCCATCATCAGAAGAGTGGATAAATAAAATGTGATATATCTACACAATGGATTACTCTGCTATAAAAAAGAATGAAATGCTACCATTCACAGCAACATGGATGGACTTAGAAAAAATTATATTAAGTGAAATAAATCAGGCACAGAAAGAGAAATACCACATGTTCTCACTTATTTGTGGGAGCTAAAAATAAATAAATAAATAAAAATACAAACAAACCATGGAGGGGGGGCGGGCAGGGAAGAAGACACAATAATCACAAGAACTCCTTGAACTTGTTAAGACAGGTGAACAGATATGATGTTGATGGGAAGGAGGGGGGAATGGGAGGGGGGAAAGAGGAATTGGTAAAGGGACTCAAAAATCAACTACGTTGCTTATTGATAAATTTAAATATATATATACATGTATATATATAAAGAGAGTGCTCCTACCACACTGTGGTATACCTGTCTGGAACCAAGGAAGAGCAGAACAAACAAAGAAAAAAAGCAATGGGAGTTTGTCCTATGCTCTTGGGACTATAATTCCTCAGGTTTGGGCCCTGGGATCCAGAAGTGTGGTAACAGACTCTGTACTGAACACAGGCTAAGGAGCTTGAATATCCCAGGATCCATGGGGATCCATTGAAGAATCCTAAGCAAAATGTTACTTATTTAGATTAGTATTATAGAAAGATCATTCCAGAAGCACAGTGGAGACTGGACCAGTAGGGAGTGAAAGTAGAGGTATAACACATTTGGAAAGGCCTTTCAGTATTCCAGAAAAGTGCTGGTGGCCAGAACCAGAGCAGTGGCAATGTAGATGGAGAAGACGGAATTGATAGGACCTAGTGATTGACTGGGTATGTGTGACGGAAAAGAATTTATTTCCATAATTCTAGATTTAGGTGACTGGGTAGACTATAGTGCCATTCACAAAAATATGTAATGT